GTTAACAATGGGTTGGTGCATTTTGTATCTATGTGGGAGAGTATCATCTCTGTAATAAGAAATTGTGTAAAACAGTTCTCATTGTCCAGCAGAAAGCACATTTCTCTCTAGCCTAGGCAAGCAACAGGTTTGTGCAACACCAGTTCAACAAAGGATTTCTTTTGTGTGCATTTTTGCATTGGTTGGATTGATTTCAGCAACCCAAACATTTCCTTCTTGAGACTGTGCTAAAGAGACTCAAAAAAAGGACATAGACTTTACACTTTATGTTGTGAGCCGCCCCGAGGCTTCGGCGAATGGGGCGGCATAGAAATGTTTTAATAAATAAATAAATAAATTTTAACCACCAAGGAATTCCTCCAGTAGTGTAGGAAGCCATGAAACACCCAGTGCTGATGGCTGTACACGGATTCCAGCATCCTGGCACACTGCCTACTGGAGAGAGGATACCTCTTCTGCGATAGAAAATGGTAGCATTCATGGTTGGAGCCCATTCACTGGTCTAAACAATACATTCCACCCTCAGCTCAGCATCTCATGGCAGCCCCGGGACACGAGGAGCTGTGATACCAAGCCCCTCTCCTCTGGCCCCACACACACACCAAACCCGAAAAATACCTCAAGCAGACACAGGGCGAAAGGGGCCCCTGGTGGATCAGATCAGAGGTCCTTGGGCTCCAGAGCGGCCAAGCAGCGGAACCCAAGAATCCTACAAGCGGGACGAGGAGGCGGCAGCTCTCTCCTGTCGCTGTTTCCAGGCGGCAGCGGCTCCAGGTTTTTTAGGGCAAGGCACCCTCAATGGACCGTCTCCCTCTTTGTCACACGAGGCAGTGGCAATGCATGGAAGAGGCGGCTATCCATGGCCACTAGTCTTGCTGGCTATGTGCTGCCCCCATTCGCCAGCTGCTAAGCAGCCTGGGCAGGAGGAGGCCTTGGGCCGTGGGTCTCAGCTACCATGGCTTTTCCTGTGTTCTTATCTGCTGCTCCTGTTTCTCACAACCAGCTGTTCTGGACCAGGGTCGGGGACAGGTAAAGAAGCTGGGTGCAATGGGGAAAAGGAGGAACTCCAGCTGGCTCTTGTTGGGGGGGGGGGGCTCTGCTGTGGCCTGGGCCTTGGAGGGACTGAACCGTGCCTGCTCTTGCTGTCTGCCCTGCCCCAAACTGGGAATCTCCAGTGGCATTCCGCCTCCTCAGAAGCGCAATTTCCACTGACACTACCAGGACGTAGCAAACCTATCATCCACAGGAGAAGATCAGCAGCTCGGAGATGCTTGCTGCCCCATGCACCTCCAAATCTCCTTTGCAAGCACCCCTCCAAAAATTTACCTGCTCTTTTAGTCTACTTCCAAAAACACTTAAAATGGCAAGGACGACAAAAGCGCTGCAGGGAAAAACTGAGGAGCAAAGACAGGACTAAACACTCCTTCTGTTTGTCCGTACGCTCTGCGAGTGCCTTCAAAGTCCTGCATTTGTCATATACACAGCTGATGTTGTTCCTGTGACAAGTGGTTGGGAACACGAGCAGGAGCAGGAAATGACCTGTCACCTGGTGCTGTGATTGTGAACATGGCAAGCTCAGTGCTCTGTAGCGACAGACGATTTCAGCAGCATTTTTCCACAAAAGCAGAAGGAATTATTTATTTATTTATTTATTTATTTATTTATTTATTTATTTATTTATTTAAAACATTTTTATGCCGCCCTATTCACCGAAGCCTCGGGGCAGCTTACATCACTAAGTTAAAATAATTATAATATAAATTAAAAATATAAATATTAAATTAAAAATACAACAATATAGTATAAAATAAGCCGCCCTGGCCAGATAAAATCCAATAATATTAACAGTTAAAATGCCGCTTGAATAAAAAGGTCTTCGCCTGGCGCCGAAAAACAAATAACGACGGTGCCAGGCGGACCTCTCTGGGGAGTGCGTTCCATAACTTAGGCGCCACCGCAGAGAGAGCCCTCCTCCGAGTACCCACCCTTCTAATTTCTTTCACAGTGGCTTCAGGTATTAAAAGAAGCCTAGAGGCTCATACTTACAGGCAGTAGACAAACACACAGCAACTGTAGATCATAGGCAGTTCGTCCAACAGCTACAAAGAGAGAGATACAAACATGTACCGTTTCATATCTAGGGGATTCCAAAGGGAAGGCATGGAGCTGCCATTTTCAGTGGCAACCCTGAATTAAGAATCCCACTCAGTTCTGTGTGAGGCAGTGCTTGGTTAAATAGCTAGAATATACTGCCCTCTTCCTTCATTGGAATAAAATGATGGCAGATTCCACCCTAAGCAGGGTGATTGGACAATATGCTCCTGACCATCACCTTACAACCCTTTCCCGTGAATAAGCCATTTTCAGAAGGAACACTAGAGCAAGCTCAAAAGTGTGAGGCGTGCATCCGTACCGACTCTATTCGGATAGCACCGTACCGTTCTTGGACAGATCTCGGTACTGTTCTTGAATGAATGCTCAGCTCTGAGTATGATGCTTATTACTGATGCGGTGCCCCAGCACAGTCAGAGAGCATCACAAATATAACCTGGTGGTCATGCATTTATCATTTACACTGCCCATCAAAACACCATTATATTCACAGTGCTCATTATGCGCTGCAGAGCCTTATGCAGCTTGGGTAGGGGCTCTCTCAAAGACCTATTCTGTGAGTCTGTCTGCACCCTACGATCTTTGGGGAGACCCTCCTCCTGGCCCCATCCCCCTCAGAGGCACACATGTTGGGAAAGAAGGTGAGGGTCGTCTCGGTGGCTGCCCCGAGGCTCTGGAATGCCCTTCCCAGGGAGGCTAAATTGGCACCTTCCCTATTATGCATTCAGAAGCACAGAAAAACGTTTCTATTCCAGCAGGTCTTTGGAATAGTCTAGATCTGTGAGAGTGCATTGGACTACCTCTGTTGTCTGTATTCTTTTTACTGCTGTTTTAATTTCAGCATTTTATATAATATTCCAGCTGACTTAATTATATTTTCAACATTTGTATCTTTCTATTATAGTTTTAAATATGCAAGTTTTAATGCTGTATATCACTTTGAGTCCCCTACTAGGAATATACAGATTATCATTATCATTATTAATATTTAAAATAAGAGTACAAACATAATATTCCAATAGAAAAAGTATAGGAGAGAAACAGCAGTAAAAATTCATGAAAAAACTCTTCAGATGGCAAAAGCACGGAAAAACAAAAGGCCTTTGCCTGGAGTAAAAAAAGTTGTCTGACAACACAGGGCAAATCAGGGCTACCTTGACGATTGAGGTGTGCGCACGCACGTGCAAACTCTGTGTTGAACTTGAGAGAGAGGCTTGCGGAAGACCAAAGGTACAATCCAGTGCGTGTTTAGACAGCAAAAGCCTACAATTCCCAGCATGCTGCAGTCATTCCAGAAAGTAACCAGGACCGGCTTGAAGTTGTAGGTCTTTTTTTCTATCCGAAGCTGCACAGGACCGTGCGCAAGGTAAACTCATGGCAGAAGATGAAAACTCAGGTTTCTGGCACAGCTCATTTTCTTGGCCACTCAGCTGCATTATCATCATTAGTAGCACCCTGCATTTATCTCCTGCCTTTCCCCTGCTCTTTGAGGAACTCGAGCTGCCTTCCTCAGGGCATTAACATCCGAAATATGCCGGTGGCCAATCCAATTTCAGGAGGGCACCTCTTGCCACAGATTGTGCGCTTCCATCCTTACGGTTCACCTTTATTTATATGCTAGGTTGTCAGGCTCCTGAACGTACCTTTTACCATCTACTGCAGCCATTATTTTGCAAACCGGACCTTAGATATTCCCTCGACTAAGGCTCATGAATCTCATGCCCCTAACGAAACCAAAAAAGAACGCAAGGAGCAAGACATCAAAATCAGAATGCACCATAAAGATAGGTGAGCGTATTTAAACCTGTGCTACTGACCTGCATTTCATACTTGAGGGTCATGTGAAAGCACCACGAGCCCAAACCCACAGCTGAAAACCAAGCAAGAAAGCATTAGCAGGGGAACACGTATTACTGGACAACAAAAGTGCCGATCCTCTTCCCCCAACACACACACATCGCAAACACTCTGTTACTGAAACACATTTACTCTGAATGGGGGCAAAGTGCACCTGGGACCTCCTCTGTGGGATCTACCTTAGCGCCACAACCCCACGTTCTGCAAAAGCTGCCCAGGCAAGTTTCCAACTGGTCCTCTTTCAGACCACGCACTCTCCCTTGGGGAAGAGCCGTGGCTCAGTGATGGTTCTTGGTCTAGTCCGCAGCAACTCCAGATCTGGGCAGCAAAGCGTCCATCCTGAAACGCCGGGGAGCGGCTGAGGGCAAGCTATTGTAGCACCAGCAGTCCCACTAAAATACAGGAAATGCAACTGGGGGAGCAAACCCTATACAAATTTAGACAGAAAAAAAATCTTACAACCTTTTCTGTCTAAACTTGCATAGGAGTGTGTCATTGATCTGCCCTTGCCATATAACCAGGATTGTGAGCATAGGTAAACAGAATTTAAAAACCAGCCACTGTCAATGAAGGGCCACCTGAGCTCCCCACAAAATCAGAAAATAAAAGTCCGCTTACCTGTGACACACAAATAAGCTATCATGTACCGTTTTTCAAGGCCATCTCTGTAACTCTGAATTGCACCATAGATTGGAGGTAGAATAAAAATCAGGTTGCTAACTGTGTTCCCTGCAGGAAAGAAGCCAAAGCAAAGTATGATTAGTAAAATCGAATGAGCAAATTGTAAATGATTTAACATTTACTGAGCGACACATGGGCTCAACAATTTGAAAGGCAAATGGCTGAAATTATTCCAAGCTTCTCTGCTCTCTTCCTTTACTTTTCATACAAATTAAATCATAAGAATTCAAAAGAAGAATGTAATATTCCTCCAGGTCTGTTATTGTCTAACATAACAACAGATAGGAAAGGTAAGGTAGTTCTTGCACATCTTTCACAAGAAAATATTTTTTCTTCAAGTGAAGAACAGAATTACTGCCAAAGATTTAAAAAAACCTCATGTAGGTGAGCTTTTTCAAAGGATTCACAGCTGTAGGCCCCTCGGTGATTACAATAACAGCAAAATATAGCCTTCCGCTTTTAGTGAATGACAGGCTACTTGATGCTAGGAAAAGGTAACAGGCCCCAACACTGTGGTGGAAACTAATCAGGATTTGCAAATAAATGTTGGGACAGAATGCTAACCCTACCCAGCAATTCTTATGTTTAAAGATTTGTTAGTACAGCACTGACCATAAGTGCTAGATGAAATATTTAATTCCAAGGCAAACTTTTTTAATGAATAAGACCTTTGTTTTTTCCCACACATGGTAATAAAGCTTTTCCATAAGTGTATGCTAAGCATGCATAATCTGTGAAGCAAACATTCCTGTATTTCCTAATTACTGGGATGGAGGGAGGAGGAAAAAGACATACTAGAACTGTGTGGAGGAAGTAAAATCAAGTCAAAAGTCTTTAATAGCTTAAATGACATTTCGCTTTCTCCTTGTGTTACCAGAAATCCATCACACCGGGACCATTTCAAAGGAAAGCACCACTGGGAACAGGGCTTATTTGAGTAAGTAGTGAACTCCATGGTTATCAGGGAATTGTATAATGTGCAAATTACCCCACAAAGTGTTGCCCTGTAAGTTTCCATTATTGGAGGGGCCCCATCCCAGGAAGAAGGGTGCATTAAGAGTCAAAGATTGGCATGATTCAAGCTGCCATAAAACACTGAACATTCACTAGTAGCTCTTCTGGCCTAACCACAGGTGGTTTCTGGCCATAAAAATGCCCTCTCCCTCCACACTGGGGAAAAAAGACCAATTGTTCCTAGAGGAAAGCTTGTTCGAGAAACCCATGTTATCAGGTATCAGCTATTAAGGGCAGATGTGTAAAACAGATTCTACTTGTTGCAGCTTAGCTGAAGTTGAAAATTTACAGTGGGGGAATTCGAAGAGCTAAACCAGAGAAGGGAGCGACCTTGGCCATTTCCAGTCGCTCAAGCTTCTCCTTAAGACTGAATACTCCCTTTCAGCTACAAATGATGCTGAATGCACTGTTATTTTGAAAATCTGCTGGACAAAAATATTGGGTCCACTGCAACACAAACTAAAACCAAACGGAGGGGTAAAACAGCCATTCAAAGGATCTACGCTACACGTGGCAATGGTGAAGCCTGGACAACTTTTGGCTCAGCTTTTCCCAACCTCCACCCTTCTGAAGGATCAGACTACATTTCTCATCAGCCCCAGACTGCCTGGGGATGATGGGATTTGCAGTCCAATAGACCTGGGTTATCTGCAGAGTGTCATTCCATCTATAGCCTGGTTTTGGATCACAGTGGACAGTCCTGATTACTGTCACGCAACTAGGAGGGTGTCATTCACCATGCGTGTTTCCGCTCTCACCTCATGGTCCACCCCGCACCCCGGTGTCTTTCCGTCCCTGCTTCTGCTCCACCTGCTCGATTTGGGATTACCTTGGTTCATTCTGATTCACAATTTAGCCATTGCTGAAAACTGACATGCTGTAGAGTACAATGGGAGGAAGGGTTCTATCCCCAATGGTGGCTTAAACGTGCTTCTACATAAAAGGAAATGTATCTATGAAATGGCGCACCTGGTGGAAGCAAATATCTTGAGCTCCCCCTGAAAAAGTGACCAGCGCCTCCTCTTTGCGGCAAGAAAATAGCAGAGAGATTTCCTTCTGGGTGGACAGGGCAGGAAGGCAAGCTCTGGAGGCCCCCCTACTCCCCTTTCACTTCTCTCTCTCTGACAATTTTCTGCAGGTCACACAACTCCAAAAGGTGTGAAGCAGTTGTCTTCAAGGGAGCTCGAATTTGAATTTTTACATTAATAGGCTTTATGGCAGTTTGTTTTAAGCACGGGTTGTCTGTAATCCGGGAACTACCAGTGCTTTTCTAAACCTCCCACTGCATGAGGAAGGTTTCTGTGAAGTGTGTTTAACCCTCCCACACAGTGTCCTGCCTTTACAACAGGACACCCCCGCACACACACCTTGGTACCATCATGCAACGTTTCCAGTACAACAGTAAAACTGGAATTTCCATAGTACTTTGACTAAGTATCTTGCTTTGTAAGCCATTCACAGCACATAATATGAACCCAACAGATGCGCATAAATGAAAAAATGTTATATGCTCCAGTGAGGACCGGCAGAGTGTCTGGCATGTTTGCTAACTTTATAAAGATAAAGCAAGCTAACAACGCCAGAGCTAATTTTGGCAACAAAACAGGCAGAAGTGTCCCTGCCAGAAATTAATACTATTTTGCAAGGGGGAGTAGACAGGGTCAGCTGAAACTATGCCATAACAATTGGTCTTTGCTAAAGGGAACTCTGCAACTACACAAAGCATCATCCAGATCTTCTGGTTGTGCACCAGAAGCAGAGGTTTTTTGCCATGGGAGGGTCTATTTGACTCAGGAAAAAAGGAACTCTCCTTTCCAAATAGTCTCCCGCTCCACTTTGCCAGAAGTACGGGCCTGTATATATGCTCTGAGGAGACTGCCACCCTTCCCAGTTAAAAGAGGGCTTGATTCATTCACAGTTGTGCAACATGGCTATGAGCCCTTTCTGGAAGAGGAAGAGGCTTCTCGCTCAGGCTCAAATCTAATCTGCGGTGTAGCTGATCCAAGAGATACCACACCATCAGTTATTTCGGCAACTACGGTCATTAGTGGGTGAGGGGTGGTGATGTTGAAGGCAATACCAGGAGAGGAATCGAAAGAGGCAATCAGCTTGAGAAAACTTTGGAAAGATTGCATTTATTTTTAGATCAGATGAAAAAGCCAGTCTACCTGAAAAAGAAGACTTGAGGATTCTTGTAAGAAGCTAACAGGCAGCTTTAAATTCCAAAAGGTATATACAGACAGGCATTGTACCCTTAACTTTTGGTAAATTACCAATTAATTCCTCCATTGATCTAGCAGGTCCTGAAGTACTTGTAGTTGATGGCGCTTATACAGGAGAGAATCCAACAGGGTGCTTATGCCTTCACCCACATTCTCATGGCCCAATTTCACCACACAACCTGCCACAACTGATTTCTTAAAATTTGATTTATATCCTGTCCATGTCACATCCTGCTGCTGCTCTCAATCTTATCCCCACAAGAAAACCCTGTGAGGAAAGTTGGATCTAGCACTTCGTGGGCAACTTGAAATAAACGAAAGGAGACAAGTTGGCAGAGTTCTCATAAGGGGCCTCCATTAACCTGCCCCCTTCCAGAAACAAGCACTGGCACATATGTTACGGCTTTCTCTAGGAAGCACAACATCTCCACTGCGTAAGTAGCAGGTCCCAGTTGCAGAATGGAATCAACAGGATCCAACATGGCCAGAGGGAAATTGACAGCACCCCACTGTAAGTGCCACACTCAGTTCTGTTCTACATTTGAGTCCTTTGCCACCCAGTGCTAGGTAAGAGAGAACTAAGCTGCAGTACTGAAAGCAGCAAAAACTATTAACTAATCCCCGTCCTATTCACTAATGTAATGTGTGAGCGCCACTATCAAGCCAGTGATTTTACAAAAAATCAGGACGTCCTCATAACGTTAATTTTGCACGAGAGGATGGATCAAATTCAAGCTCATGAGGTATCAAAGACCGTGTCCTCCTCACCACTGAGCTGGCAAGTGGAATCACTCTTCGCTTTTAAATGTGCCTTGGAGCATTTCCATTCCTCATATTCTCAATAGCAGCAACAGCCTCAGCCAACGGCTTCCCGTGAGGGATGCGTGCAACCTCAGCCGAATGCGCTCAGTTGGGAATGAGAGAGGCTCCCCATTTGCCTGCCTGTTTGACAATACAAAAACAGCTGCGTGTGTGCGTGTGCGTGTGTGTGGGGTGTGATCTGTCAAGATGCTAGGACTGATGAGCGATGTTCCTGGCCATGTTGCTAGGCCAAGAGGCTGTGGCACCCCTGGGGGGAACCAGGGCAGGGCAGACTGATTGATGCCATGTAAGTGGTGGGCAGGGCTGCTCACCACAAGCAGCCAACTACCGAGCATCTTCCGTGATCACAACATGCCATCCACTCCCAAATGATTGCTCATGTTGCATATTCCAACTCGGGGCCTTCCTGAGGTTTGGAATTACAACATTCCTGATCACAGTCCATGATCGCTAGGATTTATGGAAGTTTAAATCTTAAGGACTGATCTTGCCCAGGTTTTCTTTTGAGCTGCTACCATCCGAGGCTCATTTGGTAGTAAGAAGAGGGGGCGCATGCTCTGCTTGCAGAATTCCCTCCCAGGGGCACCTACATTCCCTCCTGTTCTGCTGCCCTTTCAATGGCAAGCAAATATCACTGGATTTAAGGCCTTTGGCCTGTAAGTACATCTGTGGGTTTGGTGCTGTTTTTATTTGGTAATGCTTACATGTTATTGTACATATTTTAATATGTTCTTAAAATCTATTTTAAATTGTTTTTAAGTAGACTTGAATGTCATTTTAGGGTAGAAAGGAGGGGTATAAATAAAATAAGTCCAGAACCTCTGATGGGCACTGAGTTCAAGAAAGCTGGTACTGCCACTGTAAATTAATGACACTGTTCATTCTGAAGTCTCATACATTTTAAAGGGGAGAGACTACTTTGTTTGCTGGTCCCAGCAAGAGGAAAGAAGCAGCTAAGGATCTTGATTCATTGGCAAGATTTGGCTTTAG